CGGGCTCGGGCTAGGAAAGGGCCGACTCCGTGGCCCGCTAGGATGCAGCCACAGCACCCGAGGTCCCGAGCAAACCTGGCGCTCCAGGCACAGCCCTGCTCACCCCAGTGCAGACGTGGCGGTGCTCTGGCTCCGCGGTCCCTTCCCCAGCTGTGTGCACAACCCGTCCTGCTCGTGCCACCCCTTCCCTGTGCTAATTAGGGCGCTCATTAAACAGGCTGAAAGACGGCGCTGAGAGATGAGTGGGCCCCGCGCAGCGCGGCCAGCCAGCCTCCCCCTCGCTGGCTTGGTGTGCAGAGCAAGGACATCAGAGGGGGCATCTCGCCAGGGCTGTACGCAGCCCTGCCTGTGCCAGGGAGCATCCTCCCTTTTCTCCCCGGCGTTCATCAGCCGTGCTGTCTGTCTGTCTGTGCTAGAGGGACGAGGAGCCTGCAGCCCAGCGGCTCCATGGCCCGGTGAGGCTGGCCAGGCCCCTGGCAAGGCTGACTGCGAGCGTGGCTGTGCCGGGCTGGGTGCCCACAGTGCTGGCAGGGAGGGTTGGAGGAAAGGGGACACGAAAGGGGACACGGGGGAAGATTTTTGGGGCCAGAAGTTATAGCATGCAGCTGGGGATTTGGGAGAGGAGGGGGGGGGAGCCCTGCCAAGGGCTGAGCCCACGGAGGGCTCGCAGCTTGGCCGCACGTCCCTCTGCTCCGAGGCTCAGGGATGCCTACGAAAGGCAGGATGGCACCAGGGCTAGAGGCCCCCCAGCCTTGCCAGGCGGCTCTGCTCCAAGGAGCTGGGCCACAGCAGCTCCTGGGGGAGCGCGTGGCCTCTCCAGGGACCAGAGCTGCCCTGCAGCGGGCTGGGCGGTGAAAGCCGCCCCCGAGCGGGCCAGGGTCCTGTGCTGTACAGCCCTGCGCGAGCCACGGCAGAGGCCTCTGCCCTGTGCGACTTGTCCATCGGCAGCGGTGTGCTGCCTTCAGTGGGAGGGCGAAGGCTTGTGATGGGGAGAGGATGGAGGAGCGCCATCCCACCATGCCAGCCTTGTGGTCAGTCCTGGTCACATCCCCTGAGCCAGCCAAGGATGGGATGGGGCGAGCTGAGCCTGGGTCCAGAGCTGGGACCTGCCACCCTCCCCTCCCTGCCG